GAGGTAGGGTGGGGTTTACACATAGAGGTGGTCGGGCAATAACTCTTCAACACCGACTAACACTTAAAATAAAGCATATGTGATGACATGTTACGTCGGTCAGACAGACCGGAGAGGTCATTCTCTCCCAGTAAGAACAGCTAGGAGTTATCTCCCCTCCCGGTGATCAGACAAGAAGGCTCTATCAATCGGTTTCACTCACAATCTTGTGTTTTAGGAACAAGTTGGATCGTTAGATTTGTCACCTTTCTTATGCTGCGTGCATCGGTAACTTAAAACTATATCATTTTGTACAACATCAAATTATACCGGATGTTCTCATGTCATGCTACGCGAAGAAGACGAATTTGATATGTTTATATCACATATCTTAGATACATCTGATTAGATTTGATACAGATTTCAAATTGAATCCGCCTGGAGTAATGACGTCACGATAGGGACAACCGGATCCTTCAGCCAGACAATAAAAACCATATCCTTGATGTTACAACTCTGTAAATCCGGGGTGTTTACGAGACAAAACTGTTTATGATCGGTGTTTATAATACAATGATATAATGTGATTTTATTATGTGTGTAAATTATTATTCATAATATGTAGGTGCTTTGTCCTTACAACATGACTCTACAGTTTGTGTGTACAATAATATGATTTTAATATGTATTGATACTAAATACTAAACTACACTATACATGATTGGTTGATTGTTACAAAAAGACACGGAAGTGAAAGTCCCAGTAATGCTTTGCGCCGATGGCGGATGAAAACATGGCGGACGACAACATGGCGGACATTGTTACAAATAGATTTCTTCACCCACACGCTTGACCACGTATGCAGACAATAAGAGTCTGGTTGAACGAGCCTAAGCGATTAGTATCTTACCCGGCAAACCTGCCGCGACTGTCCGAAAAGATAAACTAGGAAAAAACGAAAAACGCTTAACTAGTTAGGAACACAATAAATACAATATTCAAGGCAGAGAGTTCCTTTACTTTAGGTTAAATCATTATTGTCTTCAAATATAATGCCACGTGCGTTTACTGCAATTAAATACATCAGTGCTAATACTGCGCACGGTCAGCATGTCTTGAATCATAATCCATATTATGTAGGTACGTTGTGAAGTTCGTGATTTTTTTTATGTTTTAACTTGTGTGAAAGAAGTATCAAACTGAGTTCTATTACACAACGAGAATATAAACTGAAAAGTTTCTCAAGTTTCCGGAAGACCCATTGATTCTTTGTGGATGAAAAAAGTAACATGTTGCGTTTACTGTCTGACGACCGCACGGTTCGACGTATGGACGGACAACAAAACAATTTGGAAGTGTGAGGAACGAATCTGCGCAATATCTTCATCTGCGTTTGGTGAAGTTGGATGTCAAACGATACGCAATATCTCCTTTATAATATATAACAATGTAATGTAATGTAGTCTGAACGTGTTTTAATTCTTTATTATTATTATTTTTCATAAACAAATGAAATGGAACTTAACAAGTACACTATTAAGATTCGCGTTTTAATATTCATTAACTCACTGACACGCAGCGTCCCCTTCCTAACCATATACTCCAACTTCCCAGTCTTTTACTAAATGTTGATTTCTCCGTCTGTCTCTGCTGGTAACTGCCGTCCCCTTCCGAACCAAATTCCTAACTCATTTCTTTACTAAATGTCTTTCCCTGCTGGTAACTGCCGTCCCCTTCCGAACATTTCTTTACTAAATGTCTGTCTCTGCTGGTAACTGCCGTCCCCTCCCGAACCAAATTCCTAACTCATTTCTTTACTAAATGTATGTCTCTGCTGGTAACTGCCGTCCCCTTCCGAACCAAATTCCTAACTCATTTCTTTACTAAATGTCTCACCCTGCTGGTACCTGCCGTCCCCTCCCGAACATTTCTTTACTAAATGTCTCACCCTGCTGGTACCTGCCGTCCCCTCCCGAACCAAATTCCTAACTCATTTCTTTACTAAATGTCTGTCACTGCTGGTAACTGCCGTCCCCTCCCGAACCAAATTCCCAACTCATTTCTTTACTAAATGTCTTTCCCTGCTGGTAACTGCCGTCCCCTCCCGAACCAAATTCCTAACTCATTTTTTACTAAATGTCTCACCCTGCTGGTAACTGCCGTCAGAATCTTATCGTTATTTCAGTGTCACCGGTAAAACATTCTGATTAAAACAAACGACCAGGCACAACACATTCAATAAACGTCTCTCGTACTGCATTATCCTACAATAAACATGCGAGGCAGGTTTTTTTTATTATATTATATCATTCAGGTTTCTACAATTAAAGAAACAATGGACTGTATTGTAGGGTATATAAAGGGACAATGGAGAAGTTAACGAGGATTGATGAATGATTTTGAAAGTTTGAAATCGTGTAGAACGGGCCATGCATGTTTCTGCTCTGTTCGGGTGGGGGAGGAAGAAGGGTACTGAGAAGGAATGATGATAGGACGGAGAACAGACGGACAAAGAGTGAAAGGAGTAGAGAGAAACAGGGGAAAGGCTGTAGATGATGTCTGAAATTGATATTAATTGAAATTTCATACCAAATGGAAACAATTTTTCTTGACCACTTGAAATGAAATCTGCATGGTAGTCTGCATACATACTGGTAAGCGGACTAGGGGAGATAACTCCAGAATCTCTTTATAAATATATTGAGTGAAATTCACATTAGTTGGCAATAAGGGACCGAGCGGTTAGAAGCATGGACACAGACAAAGCATGTGGCATGTATTTGAAATTTATAATGATTCAAATTTTATTCTAAATGGACTTTTTTTTAATTCTTATGCAAGTGGACAATCATAATTTTTCTGATCTTGCTCATTAAAAATGAGAACAAAAGGTTAACATCGCAACAATTAAAAAAATGTACATGTGATTTAAATCGAGTGATAATTCACTCTCATATTTAAGTGAAACGAAAACAGTTTACAAGAGAAAATTAACGAAACGAAGTGAACTACATGTACATTTCATTGTTTTTCACTGTTTAATTATTGTCTGTTGTTTTTTTGTCCACCGTGCATTATGAGATGTTTGTTCAAATCGCCCTGTCTCCGTTGTCCGTCCATCGTTTCGCTATCTTTATTCTTTCTTCGGGAGATTTTTTCTCAAATTTCTTATGAACGTTCGCCTTGGCCACTAGCAGTGCTTGATAGTTCAATTTTTAGAGTGATCACATGGCGTCAATCTTGGGTATTGACAATAAAACTTTGCTATCGCTATTTCTTTGCAGTAATGAATAGACCTTTCTAAATTTCTTGTGTAGTTCCTACAATGTGTCTATTGGTGTCCAAGCAATTTTGAACAAGATTAGATAAAGAAAAATTGGCTGAAAGATGGTGATTTTGGTTTTCAGAAATTGTTATCACTGTTATTGAGATGTATTGTTTGACATTCTCTGTTCTACTTTTGTCTCTTCTTTATCATTGAGGTGAATCGGGAAAATACAATATTGTCGGCAATATTGTTGACAGTAACGGTTTGTTGTTTTTACATGTCTCTTTAATTAAGAAGCACATAATTAATTTATCGTTCTCCAGTTTATTTCCTTTTGAGTTTTGTTGTGGAAAAAGGGGCCAAAAGGTGGCCATCTTCGATTTTGATAGATAATTATTGTTATTTCTTAGAAAGCACTTGAGAGATCATTCTCCATGTGTCAGGATGATTAATTTACCTTCTAATACAACAAATATTTAGAAACAAATAAAAGAAAGTAATGTAAAGAAGGTAGAAGATCCCATTTACATAAAAAATATATATACAGACCATCAAATGATGAACGCCAAGATGTCTGTGGGATTTTTTTCCAATTTATATCATCAGAAAACAAAACGATTTGTCTCTAGTTTTAGTCTTTCATTTTTCCGATTATACCTGGGCATGAACACATGTATACAAGAATTAGTGGTGATAGTAGAAGACTTGAAAATCAATATTTGTGTTTCAGGATAATTCGTGGGACTATTTGGTGAACATGGATTAATGACTAATATCACAGCACATCGATTGCTGTGTTCCCTGGAGATTACAGAGGAACAGCCAAGTATCGATCGAGAAGACGAGTTAGCTCAGCATCTGTATCTCAAGTCCAACTGACGAACAGGGATGAGATGGTGGTTTGTCGGTTCGGCGTCAGAAATGGATGGGTTGGTCAGTTTGAAGAGATATTTTTGACCTTCTGAGGTGGACAGAAGATATAGAGGTAGGGTTGTTTACAAACGGACGGGGTGAGCTTTGGTGATGCTGTCGATACTGTTCAAGTTGTACAGAATTATCTATGTTGAAACAGTCCCAGCTTCCGCTAGCGTGTATACCAACCTGCGGATTTCCAATATAGATGTCATCCATTTTGGATTGTACGTGTTTACATAAAGATGTGGACATTGTATGTGTTTATATATAGACGTAGACATTGTATGTGTTTATATATAGACGTGGACATTGTACTGTTTATATATAGACGTGGACATTGTATGTGTTTATATATAGACGTGGACATTGTATGTGTTTATATATAGACGTGGACATTGTATGTGTTTATATATAGACGTGGACATTGTATGTGTTTATATATAGACGTGGACATTGTATGTGTTTATATATAGACGTGGATATTGTATGTGTTTATATATAGACGTGGACATTGTATGTGTTTATATATAGAGGTGGACATTGTATGTGTTTATATATAGACGTGGACATTGTATGTGTTTATATATAGATGTGGACATTGTATGTGTTTATATATTGAGGTGGACATTGTATGTGTTTATATATAGACATGGACATTGTACTGTTTATATAAAGACCTGGAAAGTTCATGTGTAGAATATTCATGCTATTATAAACAATCTTGTCATACATGTCAAATTCACCTACAGCATTAATACCACATTGATATATACTTCTTTCCGTCATCTTGTCGGTGACCTTTATAAAATCCTGATGTTTCTAGAGAGTCTACGCTAACATGACGATGGAAGGGCTTTCCCTGTTACTATGGATCATGGTTGCTATGACGACAGATGTTGGATTCGCCCAGGAGACAGATATGTTCGATTTCTCCAATATAGATGAGCCAATGGATGGATTCGGTAGCACGCCTGTACGTTTTAATTTAATATTGTGATACCTATACCATTAAGAGTTATCTCTCTTGGGTCATAAAGTTAAAGTATGCCGTATCACCGGGACGCTGTTTATCTCATCACCATCGAGAACAAATATTAGTAAATCAACATATAAATACACCGTTTTTGAGTAAACGTAATAAAATGATGGAATAAAAGATTGAAGATGTTTTAATTTTGTTAAAATTGATAAGTACCACATATCTTTTAAAATCGAAGTCTAAAATCTATTTAGTTAGTCACGTGATTATAGCGTAGCATTTGCAGTTCAAATTGGTGGACTCGGACAACTGCTGTTGGCTAGATATGCCTTTTGGTGAAGGAGTTCGTTTCTATAACCATTGGTTCATTTGCAAGGTCGATTCTGAAACTAATTTTTCCTTTCTGTCATATTTCTCTTCAGGTCAAATCTAGAATAGACAAATGTCGCTCCAACCGCCATGTGTGCAGTACAATCCTCAGGTATCCAGGTAACCAGACGTTCAGTGATGGTGTACACTGCCTATGCCCCGGATGTACAGAGGAATGGGGCGAGAACGACAACCAATCGTTTACCTGGGTCCATTACGAACGACGTAAGTTACTGTTGATACGAAACGAGTCTTTCTGTCGTGTTAATTTAAAGTGCTTTCAAATCGACTTCACCTTATTGTCTATTTAGTAGAAATGTTCACTAAGGTAGAATGAGGGAGGGAAGAATCTTAACGAATGCTTTGAAACGGGTTTATGTTTCTATTCACAAATTTCATAAGTACAATGTAATTTATTGATGGTAGACATCAGAGGGGATAACTACTGATTGGGAGAAGGTAGACACAGGTGGGGCTTACCACGGAATAGGGAATGAACTAACCAAGTGTTATTGACGGACGACAGACATTAGAAAGGCTTACCACGGGGTAGGGAATGAACTAACCTTGTGTTATTGACGGACGACAGACATTGGAGAGGCTTACCACGGAATAGGGAATGAACTAACCAAGTGTTATTGACGGACGACAGACATTAGAAAGGCTTACCACGGGGTAGGGAATGAACTAACCTTGTGTTATTGACGGACGACAGACATTGGAGAGGCTTACCACGGGGTAGGGAATGAACTAACCTTGTGTTATTGAAGGACGACAGACATTAGAAAGGCTTACCACGGGGTAGGGAATGAACTAACCTTGTGTTATTGACGGACGACAGACATTGGAGAGGCTTACCACGGGGTAGGGAATGAACTAACCTTGTGTTATTGAAGGACGACAGACATTAGAAAGGCTTACCACGGGGTAGGGAATGAACTAACCTTGTGTTATTGACGGACGACAGATATTGGAGAGGCTTACCACGGGGTAGGGAATGAACTAACCTTGTGTTATTGAAGGACGACAGACATTAGAAAGGCTTACCACGGGGTAGGGAATGAACTAACCTTGTGTTATTGACGGACGACAGACATTGGAGAGGCTTACCACGGGGTAGGGAATGAACTAACCTTGTGTTATTGAAGGACGACAGACATTGGGGAGGCTTACCACGGGATAGGGAATGAACTAACCTTGTGTTATTGACGGACGACAGACATTGGAGAGGCTTACCACTGGGTAGGGAATGAACTAACCTTGTGTTATTGAAGGACGACAGACATTGGAGAGGCTTACCACTGGGTAGGGAATGAACTAACCTTGTGTTATTGACGGACGATAGACATTGGAGAGGCTTACCACTGGGTAGGGAATGAACTAACCTTGTGTTATTGACGGACGACAGACATTGCAGAGGCTTACCACGGGATAGGGAATGAACTAAAACATTGGTGAATTACTGAATTCACTAGATAATTCTTCCACAGTATTGACAGGTAACTAGCTAACAGTTCTTCGTAAATAAGAAATATTGAAAATTATGAAACTTTTTGTAGGGTTGATACTGATTTTTCACACATCTTTCCTCCTAAGGATTTAAACATTACGCATCACTGACGACAAGTCCTAGAAGGACGAAGGAGGGAACAGCTGTATGACTATTTGGCTATACTTTATCTATTTTTAATTTTTTTCAATTTCTTTATTGAAAAAATACAATAGCATTCACGTATTCCTCGTGAAACAGTAATCAAAGTACACTTTACTAGTCATTCAGGGATTTTTCTCTCTTTATTCTTCTTCCTTTTGAATGTGGGAGTTGTTCTTTCATCTACAATGACATAAAACTCATTTGTCTGGCAATTTCACAATTTTGTTTACTTTGAGAATGTTATTGTCTACAGATGAGCAACTGGTGCAGTACCGGTTTTGTATTCCGGTCATGCCAGAACGCACGTGCGACAAGGATGATTTGGCTGTAGTCATGGAAACAGAGACTTCTAACTGGCGAGTATACATGGCCATGGCCAGATGTAAGTGTCCTAACAACGTGTTTCAGTTGTCAAACTGGTGGAAACGTAACAAAGTGTGGATGTATGAATACGGCTGTCAGAAGGTGAGCACTTCCGGTCCAGTGAAAATTGTACAAAGTGTTTGTTTAGAACTATATAATTATGACCATGCAAGCGTGGAGTGTATCTCCATGTATATTGTTAAATTAACGTGATGATTTTTTGGATGTTGAAATAAATAGTCATTATTTACGTGAACTGTCTCTATTTGCTTCAGTTAGGTATTACAGACAAAGCAAGTGATAGAGGGGGTGGAGTAACCCTGTCTTCTACATTAATTTTTCAAATTGTCTGAGATTTTCTCTTCTATTTTCAGAAATCTTGTGAAAAAAACAATTCATTATGTTCAAAAATCTACATAGACAAAGTTCACGATTCGGCTCTTGGATATGAATTTCAATGCGCATGCCCAACAGGATATAACTGCCCAAGTGATCGGGAACCGGAAATGGAATCCCTTGTTGATCATATTGGCCATTATGTGCCTATGTACTGCCGACCAGCACGAAACAGTGGACAAGTATGATACTGACACAGCCAACAAACTGTAAAAATTATTAACAGAAACTTCTAATGGTCGGTGGCTAGTTCCTGGTATCACACACTACAGATCAGGTTTCATCTCCGTTGGCGGACAGTACAGGACTGTTATGTCGTTACGTCTTCCTTCTGAAATAATGTCTTACTGATGTAAACATTTTACAGACAGTCAGTTGCTTCGATATCTTCATTCTTCACTTCATCTCCTTGGAAGCATTTGACATTTTTACTGTTTCCAAAGCCAACGAAATTCTATGAATTTATCGTGTGTGTTAGTGATTTTAATACATATCTTTTTTTTTATTTATTTTTTGTAATCTTATAAAAGATGGATCTATTTATCAGTGGAATGGACACTAGCTAAGGGTAAAAAATAGTACGCACAGTTGGCGGATTCTCCTGGAATATCGAAGGATACAATAACTTTTAATTGCCGTGTTTTATTTTTGTACGTGTATCTGTTTTGCCATCTTTACAATAACAACACAGTTTAAACTGTAAGCAATCGATATTTTTACATTGTTCGTGCATGTTGTGACGAAATATTTCAAGTATATGTGTTCAAATGTGTCATTTTTATTATATATATATGATTTTTCAATGACGTTATTTAATGGTAACGTCATACAAATAACCTGGCAAGAATTTAAAATTCATTGTTGTGTTTATTGCTGAATATCAAAACACAATGTCTTTAAAAGTATCATTTTTCACAAATAAAATACATTTTGATGCCTGTACAGACACAGTCTACCATATTGAACTCGGAGTCTCGGCTAACACAGCCGCAGTCATTTCTCGTCTTCACTTCCGGCTTGTGCCAGGACCGTACTGACAAATCGACTGGTTCTTCATTGGACAGAAATACCCATGTATTGGAATCCGTCATTTTTCTCCTTCCTACATACGCATAGTGATATACACCTGGGTGAAGATAAAGAAAGAAACACCCCTTAAATGACACCAGCAACAATTAATTGAAGTACATGTACACGTGACAATAATCATGTCAAATCTAAACTTACAATTCAAACCAATATACATTGTAATTATCGGCCATCTGAGCGGAGCTCTTTTCATAATACATGCGAGAAATAAGAAAGAGAATGAACAGAGTTACCTCCCGTCATACGGGCTTTGCTTCGATTTTTCGAGGAGCCACCAAACGGTGATATAGTTTTAAAAAATACAGTCACGATCTGATAATCAGAATTCTGGTAGTGAGGAAAGTTTATATTCGGTAAGAATTATCTCCCTTATATCTACAGCAAACGTTACTATTGCTGTGTCCGTAACACTTCAGTGATTGAAGAAGGTTTGTGAGTTACCATCATATTTATTTTAACGAATAAATAGGTCTGGAACTGTTGCACGACTAATGTTCATTTAATTCTATTGTTTTAGCCATGAAATATCGTGTTACGAGGAAGCTCCTTACTTCGGTATTACGTGTACACGTATGTAGTACAATACGTCGACAGTACAACGAAGTGCTAGTAATAGATGCAAAAATTCGGTAGAGCTTATCAATGAATTCAATTCAACTTTGTCTATTAACGTGGCATTATCTCACTATTTCTAGTTTCTTTGTCCACAGATAAAATTATGATATGCTTCTTTTCAGCAATATTCAAATGATACGCACATTTTAAATTTTGTCTTTTTTATATTAAACCATATTTCTATATAAATGTTAAATGTGACAAGGTCACTGAGTGATATTTTCTCTCTGATTGGGTGACAGTCCTTTCACAATTTTCGATATTGATTGGACAAAGGGCATTGTCCAATCATATTATTGATGACCTTCACCAAAATGAACATTTTAGCTTAAACTTGAAAACAAATCTTAAAATAACAAGCCAAGTCGTTTAAGAAAGCAGAGCGCGAGGATTGAATATGATCAAATAAAAGGAACTTAAGTCATTGGCCGGAAGGATGTTGCGAAAGGACGAAAGGACGGTATGACGAACGGACGTGTTACAATGTCCCCTTCCTACCTATGATCTGAGATGATAAATCACTGGAGCATAAATATCAATAAAAGCATGTGTTGTCAGAGGTAGGTCAGTATACACAAGTGTGACGACTCTTTATACAGATACGGAGAGAGGTAGGGACCATAAGTATACACATGTACTTATGGGAGCTTACATGTTGCGTTCCATTTCATTTTGGATTGCATTGACCTTCTACTCGATAATTTTTTATCGTAACATTGCAAGTCTAAAGACCCTTTTTGAAACTGTTGAGATCTGTAAAATTCTAGGTTATCTGAAAGACGCTGGTCTATATAACAGACTATGAGTTACCGTTATAATCTTTTGTGATGAAATACCCATTTAAGATTTTTAGCATTTGTCTTTTACCTTTCGGTTTGTTTGTTGTTATTTCCTTTTTGGATTGATGTGTGTTTTACCGGTTGATGACACTAATGACCTTTAATGTGTTGACAGGCCGTTAATAAATGTCATCATAAGGAGAAATCCATTTGATATGTAATTTATATCTGAAGGGTATCAGCATTCTGTTCTTTACTGAGGTATAACACAACATTTATGACGAATTTGATAAATTACAAAATGGAAACAAATCTGATATATTTTGATTGCACAGTCAATAATTCTATGAAATATTACAGAAAACATTTTCATTTTTACGACGTTAAGTTATCTTTATATATTGTCTCCAATGTGACGTCACAATATAGTCTCAGAGTGTGTGACGTCCATTCGTTATCTGACTCATACGTCATCTGATCTTAAACGAGATTCTATTTTATAAACAATCTATGACTTTTGAAGACTTACTCAGAGGGGGGATAACTGCATCCTTCAGGACAGCTGCTTCAGCATCCGTCTTTATTTCTACCAGCTTTCCTCCCCTTTTCGAACAAAATTTCTGCAAAAAATAAAAATCATCAGCATTTTTACCCTTCTTGATAAGGAAACTAACGTCCCTCATTTTTATTGGATTCACTAATTTCACAAGAATCCATCCGTTTTATAGATGTCTAATAGTTAAACCAATTTGTCCGACGAATTCTACTGTGAAAAGTAGAAACAAAAATGGCCTAATACTATATATTGTTGGAAATTTTACAAAGTTATAAAAAGAACCATCTTCCTAAATAACACCGCCCGTAGAAGGTACTCGTCGTCTGTAACACACTTTACATAAAACACTTTTGTTTATTTCGATAATGTGATTGTACCACAACGGATATCTGTGCATTTTATTTCACTGTATATATTGGACGAAACTTATATCTGATATGCTTCCAGAACATTTTTTCCAAAACATGTTCTTTCATTATTCCATTGTAAGTTTCAACTGACGTATTCAACAATTAGCTAGAGAAGTTATCAATGCAGATTTCAGTGATTGAAAGTCCAACTAGCATCATTACAAGGTCTCCGTATCCACATTGCCTTAAGAGAAAGACTTAAAGTGGATCATTTTCAAACCGCCCTCATTGTATCATTTAGTTATAGCTTCGCTCTTAAGTTTACCAAACAAAACTTCTTACAATCATTCTAGTACTACTAAATCATGGATACAATCTTATTGATGATATATACGGAGATTGTAAAGAAGTCCAAAGGACTTTTGACAAGTTTTGAACAGTCTCATCTTAAAAACATTTCTTCTACATTTGTAAAAGAAAAGTTTATTTTTTCCATTTTGTCCACATTTATCCTATATTCCAAACTAAGGAAAGCCTCGTCATCTTGGCTTCTTGTTACTTTGTTTTTCAAAGAAATGACAACTGTGATACAGAAATTTGTAATAAACGATACAAGATCATGTTTAGTGAAAAAATATCCAAGCAGAAATATGATATGACAAAATCGTTAAAATAGTCGAATTCGCTGTTGACAATATATTCGCAGACTTTGGTTTTGAGATCGGAATATTAGAATACCTATTGGAACAAACTGTTCTGTTCTCTCCGACTTATTTTTTAATTATCGAAGAACTTCTTAAAGCAGGTTATAAAAACCTTGCAAAGTCGTTCAATTTCACTTAAAAAGACACGAAAGATTTCTACATCAACCGCAACCCTCGATTTGTTTGCTATATCGAAACGAAAATGCACAGCTTTTTACCAAGCTGTTTGATAAGCGTAATGATTTCAATTTCCCAGTTGTGAATTTTCCATTGCTGAATAGCAACATTCCTGCTCCATCAACCTATATATACGTTGCTGTTGATTCCATGTCCAACACTTGTTCCAATTATAACGATTATGGAAGATGTCGACAAATGACAGATAAACTACCAACACAGGGTTTAGAGAGGTGCAGATTGGTGAAGTTAATGGGAATGGTGTACTTTGACGTAATAATGATCTCATTGGGAAATATTCTGCTCTATTGTGAGACATGAAGTTGACGTGTTTGATGCTAGTTAGTTTGCCTGTTGGTTCCGTTGTTGTATACCTTGTTCTCATTTGGGAACGTGACATTATTTACACGGATTTATCAAGATTTGCATGGTGGGTGAAGTCAATACTGTATAAAACGCTTATCCTTTATGAACATATGGTCTTATTCTCCATGTAATTCTTTTGTCCATATACTGTCATGGTTTCATCAGATTTGAGTGTGAATTATGACTCTGTTGACATGTCGGCAATTCGATGTATTCTGTGAACAAGAGTCTAGCAGCTAAATATCGTTTTGAACAGATCGGATGTGAAATCACAGGAAAGCTCAGAGTGATTACCTAAATGACGCGGGCCTTCAGTCATCGGACCCCCTATTACCGAGACACCACTCTAACCAATTATACCAAATTACAGTGAGACCTTGGTAATCCGAAAAAAATCCACTGGGGCACATCACAACCTGATTATACCCGACAACAGTGAAACCTTGGTAATCCGAATAAAACTCGCTGGGACACCACACAACCTGATTATACTCGACAACAGTGAGACCTTGATAATCCGATCAAAATCCACTGAGACAACTCACAACCTGATTATACCCGACAACAGTGAGACCTTGGTAATCCGACCAAAATCCGCTGGGACACCACACAACCTGATTATACCCGACAACAGTGAGACCTTGGTAATCCGACCAAAATCCGCTGGAACATCACACAACCTTATTATATCCGATAACGTTGCCGTCAAAACGCATACTTTAATGATGAGAATTTGATAAGAATGTTGGCCTGCGTGCACATGTGTTTTCAACCAAAAACGTTTTGTATGTAAACTTAAAAAAATTGACGACCTTACCTGTGCTGTTTTCCAGTTGGCTTTCTCGTTTCTCTTTGAAACGTAATAACATTTGGAGAAACCAGTTATCAGTATCCAACCGGGAGGACAGCTCACGGTACCTTCATCTGTAAATAAACAATTTCACACCTCACACTGAATATCTCGAGGCAAAATGGATTACTGCCCTCTAAAGTTCACTGGAAAATTTATTATTTCAAGATATTTTTTCCAGCCTACCAGGTCAGTCCGCGTCATTTTGAGACAGTGTCCTTGTTACAACGCAACCGATGGCTATCTCGGTTAATAACATACAGGGGAGGGGGCGGGGCGTGGGGGCGTCACATATAATCCAGAGCAATCAAATGTTCTGCCCTAGTACACAACCACGACCGCACAGCTTGGTCTGTTTCTGAGGTACACAAACTACCACAGGTAGAGACCTTCAAACAATACACCTCACTTGACAGGAAGTGACGTAGGTCAGAGTCAGTTACCGCGACTTACTTGGATACTTGACAAAGAAAACTCTTAACTGTATTATGAAAACAGTCATTTTTAATTGATATAATGACAATGTGAGTATCACTGATTGGGGCTGAAAATTCTTTATTCATGCCACAATGTAGTCTTTCTAAAAAAAATTAGAAAACAATTATAAATATAACATTTGCGATGTGCAAAACAGTTTTCAAATAAAGCTCCAAAACAGAATTGATGTCCGTTGGATTATTTTAATTATAAAGAAAAGGGGTTAATGAATGGTTGAAAATATAACAATTTGATTCCTTCCGTTGAAGTCATAAAGCTTCTAATGCATTTATGAAAAGCTGTGTTGAGTGTTATTCAGCCCAAACTTAACCTTGACCCTTAGACTAAGTAAAATAAGTTTGTTCCTAATTTGGAATAAGAAATACATATGCCTTCATCCTTTGTGTTTTTGTATAACATATAATACCTATATACTCTTATACCTGTGTAGTCACTATAATCATCGTCGTCATCTACAGCATCTCCCTGCATCGCCGATCCTGATTCCTCTACCTCATCAGTTGTGGTGGTCGGTATCGGTATCGGTGTTGTGTTTAGTGCGCGTCTCCGTAGCTCGTCCTTTGCAGCCCGTAATTTACGGAGGTCATTCAAAAACGTGTTAAGTGTTTTAGTGAACATTTTCAATTTTGCTTCCATGACAGGTTTAATCTCCCTTAAATCTTCTGGTAAAGACGCGTTCTGACACGTCTCCAAATCGCCAACACAATCCGGAGGTTTTAAGTTCGCCTCCAAAACATCGCACCTTCTGTCCATGACCGAAATTTTCTTGCCCAAATTCTTTAAACTTGCATCTACGAACAACACAATAGCTTCCTGAAGACTGGTCCTGACGTTTTTCTGATATGGGACAGAGGCAGCGTCGCGTGGGTAAGCTGTAGAATAGGCTAAACTGTATACAGTAACCACTAATATCTGATATAGTAACATTTCGGCTGTTACAACTTGACCACACGCCCACTGCGATGCTGACCGCGGAGAGGTTTAAAATACAGTAAGGTAAAATGCCAGTATGTTGACGCGTGTGGTTTCTATAACTAGTTTATTGTAACACTCTGAAAGGTCAGCGCAGTAAATATTATTTAGATATATCTCATGTCAAAATATGAAATAAAATCCTTTCCCCAAAAACCTGGATATTTTTTCCTCATTATTACAAACAGATGTGTGTCATAACAACCACCTACAGATTGAAGAATTCCACCACTTTTTCAGTACGAAACATTTTCTCATTACAATACCATATTTATTATTTTATTTTCGAATGAATTATTGGGATTATTTGTCCGATGCACCATTGTTAAATGTTTATGTTTTTAATTGGTCACCTCTTCCTATACAATTTGAATATCTACTTTATACTGAAATGTCTGTAAGAACACAAATATTTTTAAATTACCAAAATTCTTTGGATTTAGGAGCGGGAATTAAGGGAAAAACAGTACCTAAAGCGTTCATATTCGTCTAAGGTGATAAAAAAGGACAACTACAACCGATATAATGAAATTATGGGGAGAACGATAACATAATAGTTCTCAATAGGCAGCTACCAATTGTAAATCATAATGTTTTCGTCAGTTTTATATGGCGTATATTGTGAGAGAAACTACAATGTATTTTTATGAATAAATAAGATGGAAATCTGTTTGGTAGGTATGAAAGGTCAGTATGGTCCGCTTACTTCCGTAATGGTAAACGTATTTTTGAATATTATCCTGCCGATTTTTAAAAAATAATCTAAACCATAAGTAGGGTTTATCATGATACCCCAATAAAACCCCAATGTGATATGGGCTATGCGAGTGGAACCAAGTAAACAACGCCGGTATTGGGAGGTCAGATCTGTGAGAACGATGAGTGTCAGCTGGTTTGCGGAATTGTAAAGAACAGTCGTCAATCTTTCCTTCGTGATACTCCAACTGCGGTTAGTCGAAACACGCCAGTGACCGTTAGTGTCAACGTCACTTCCATTGACCTTCATCGTGACGTATCAATTCAAAACGAGTAAGTTTGTCATGAAACCATTTCCCGGATAACTAAACCAGAATAGCCTGATCCGAAAGGACAACATCTAATACTTCTTAATATTTATCCTTTCGTGTTTTCGATCTGAAAGGAAGAGAGCTTTAAACGTCACGTGAAAGGATGCTAATATATACAAGCTGATTGTTTCGCCCGTTTGCGAAAACAATAACGTCCTTTTGTCTAATAAAATGATATTTCTATGTATTGTTGAACGTATTGTGAGAAGTGTTTTCATAATGACAGTGTGTACTTGGTTAGAAATCAAAGATTTAGTCTGATTAGTTCTTGAGTATAACCCGTTATCATAGCTTGGTTTGTGATAGCGAGAAAAATATTTTTTGAAGAATTTTACTCAGTCTAACATCAGTGCCCATTCAGCAGCTTTGGGAACTTAGCAGGTCTTGATATTGCCGGAACATTGCACTAACCACACAAAAGTGATGACCACTTTCGAATTTGTTTTCATAATTAGATAAAGAATAGCCAAATAGTAAATAAAACTGCATTTCACACATAATTCGTCATCGTAGAACTCAAAATTGGTCGAAATAAAAATAAGATTACCAGGTACACTTACCCTACGGAATCAATTAATTTCATAATTTTCAATATTGAATTATATCGTAAGAACGTCAAGTACATACTGTGTGTATTCTGGACCGTGAAACTTATTGAACAAAATAAAACGTGACATGAAGGTTCGAGGAAACATCAGGGTATAAAAGTCCATCAGCATGGTCTGTCACGTGCAATCTCTAAGATGGTTTAAAGGGCATACAAGTGAATGGCACGTTTCAATACAATATAGTTCATATAATTTTTAATATATACAATGTTATCAAAATATTAGTAAAGTTGCTTCATACACATATTTCGTCTTTCTAGGACTCGTCAGTGATGCTACATCACACAGCTGTTCTGTCCTTCTAGGACCCTTCAGTGACGCTGCATTATACTGCTGTTTCGGCCTTCTAGGACTCATCAGTGACGCTGCATCATACTGCTGTTTCGTACGTCTAGGACTCGTCAGTGATGCTACATCATACAGCTGTTTCATCCTTTTTCGGACTCGTCAGTGATGTTTCATCATACAGCTGTTCTGTTATACAGCTGTTTCGTCCTTCTATGACTGTCAGTGATGCTACATCATACAGCTGTTTCGTCCTTCAAGGAATCATCAGTGATGCTACATCATACAGCTGTTTCGTCCTTCTAGGACTCGTCAGTGATGCTACATCACACAGCTGTTCTGTACTTAAAGGTCAGTGATGCTACATCATACAGCTGTTTCGTCCTTCTATGACTGTCAGTGATGCTACATCATACAGCTGTGTCGTCCTTCTAGGACTCGTCAGTGATGCTACATCATACAGCTGTTTCGTCCTTCTATGACTGTCAGTGATGCTACATCATACAGCTGTGTGGTCCTTCTAGGACTCGTCAGTGATGCTACATCATACAGCTGTTTCGTCCTTCTAGTACTCATCAGTGGTGCTACATCATACAGCTGTGTCGTCCTTCTAGGACTCGTCAGTGACGCTACATCATACAGCTGTCCTGTCCTTAAAGGACTCGTCAGTGACGCTACATCATACTGCTGTTTCGTCCTCCTAGGACTGTCAGTGATGCTAATGGCCTAAATTCTGAAGCCTAGTTGACGCTTGCGCGAAACCAGAACTGACTGAAAGAGATGTCAATATAAAGAGTAGGCGGTACACTAATCCATAATTTCATAAATTTCACAATTTTCATATTTCTGATAATTTCATTTGAACATATCACAAATCAAACTCGACTGATTAAGCTGAACAGCCAATCGAAAGTTATTCAAAGTATCTATTGAGCGTTACAGATAAAAAAAACGAAATTTATTTTTAAGTGGATTTAAAAACGAAATGTAAATTCATTTTAAAGTGGAGATATTGTAGCCTTCAGGTCAAACCATCAGAGTGATTTCTGAACGAACCATTTAATCAAGCGGTACAGCGTTGACAAATCATGAAGGTTAACCTACCAAGTTACTTCGTATTGAAAGGAATTATCGCGCCTACTTCTAAATCCTGATATAAAACAAAAAAAAAACAAACAAACAAAATAAGTGTATATGGTTCTGTAAATATAGTCCCAGATGCCCTGAAACATTCTGACTAGTTAACTTCAGTATATAAATAGAAATGTTGGATTTTTTTTATCTAAAATGAGACAGAACGAAATAAGATGTAGATACGAGATAGGTGTACAACATTAACATTACCGCCCACAGAAGCGTGGTCGCGTCAGTCACGAATGCCTTAACCGTTACAAAATGTACTAAACTTGTCACTGATCACTGAAATAAATATAGAAAATGTTGCTAATTTACATTATGAATATAGCCTAACTCCAAAGATAGTTTGGAAAGATAATTATATTTACGTTTGTAAATCAGCAAACAGAACAAGCCACGTGTTCATTGTTCATTTGTTGTCCCCTACTTTGCTAACGGCCACAGTGATGTTTGATGTTAGTATATAACCAGAGTGTTGGTGACCAATCTGTCCAACCCTGGGTGAGCATGTTGTGAGATCTCCTTTCCCATGAAGTTCAAGACGACCACAAAGATGTTCCGAGTGTCGATGCTTTTAGTTCTTGGATTGGTGACATGTGTTGTCATCGCTAGGAACGGTAAATATTATAATTATTCAAGGCAATACTGGGCAAAGATTGTAGGTTTATTTCACCCTAAGTGTTTAATATTATTCGTCAGATTGATTTCGACCAATTTGAATTTTGCTTCGTCGCCTCCAAATAGTGTTGGCCCTCAGCATATTTAGCAAATCTTAGATGGACGAAATAGCTGCATGAAATTAATTTATCATTTGTCAATACTGTATCTTATCATATATTTGTATTAAAGTGTGCTATTCACTTGTTTGTGCTTTGCACAATATTTGGCTATTGTGTGACTTATGTAAATAAGCACTAAAAGTGTTGCCTTTCGTTTGTGTGCCTTTTGTACAACCTTCTACTATATCCAGTTCTAAATATCATCAAAAGGTGTTATGCACTTCTTTGTCTTTTTCACATTCTCTGTCGATATTGCCGCCTCCTAGACTTCAAAATATAGGCCCTTTGGAGTCAACGACGAATTCTAGAAAGACGAAACAGGTGTAAAGATGAACTTTAAATTTATATTAAAAAGTGATACATACTTGTGTCTTTTGTTTACAGGGCGATTAACCGTGCGAACAAATAAGCAATCATTGTCTTATCAATATTTGTTCTATAAATAGATCAACTTTGCTATTGTTTTTTTTGTTTTTTTTTTTTTCATTTTTACTGTCAGACTATCAGACATGATACTGGAGACCTACTTTTACTTTGTTGTTTTAATCTGATAGTTACGGAAGCCGGTTAGTGCCACGTTTTTCATGAGTTAAATTTTTTTAAAGTCGTAATTACGACTTCGCATCTCGTAATTACGACTAAACATCTCGTAATTACGACATAGCTATCTCGTAATTACAACTTAGTGGCACTAACCGGCTTCCGTAGATAGTAATGTTATCTTTGTTTTACACCTTAGTCGAGTCCAACAAAGAGAAAACTGTTGAAGAAAATGATGAGGAAATCCGGAACAAACGATCTGAGGTGGACAATTTTTTGTACAGAGAATGGGACGAATACCTCAAGGAACAAAAGCTTGCGCATGTCTTTAAGTGAGTTATCTGTAAAACTGATATCAAAATGATAACTTGTACTGATTAATGTATTTCTCATTAATTGTTTACATTACACAACATTATCTACAGCAAATATTCTTTAATATGTCTTAATTATTGCAAAACATCTATACATATTCATCAGAAAGATTTGCAAGTTCAATTTAAATTTGATGACATTTCCCCTTATTTTTGTTCATTATT